ACATGTCTTTTGCAGCAACTTGGATGGAGCTGGAAAAGATCATGCTTAGTGAGCTAAGCCAGAAAGAGAAAGAAAAATACCGGATGGTGTCACTCATAGCAGGAGTAATAATAATAATGAACAGCCAGATACCAGAGACATTTTATGGGGGTGGAGTGGGGAATGGGATCAAAAACGGGCGGGGGGAGGGTGGGAAATGCACGGGACTATGGCGGTGGCACAGGGGTGATTTGGTGATGGGAAACCCATGGGGATTACAATCGAGATGGAAAAAAAAATGTGCAAAATGATGTAAAAATAAACTTTGTAATAAATTTTAAAAAAGAGAGAAAAAAAAAAGTCTCTCCCCCAGACAAGACCGTCCCTGCCACTCCCAGGTAACTAGGACCCATGCTGTTATCCTGTTCTGTGGCACCCTATACTTGCCCCTTCAAATCCCTTATTGCAATGTGTAATTGCAAGTTTGTGCTATAATTTTATTTATTGGCATTTCCCCTCCACAAAGCAAGGTCCCAGAGGACAAGGATCATAGCTATTCTGATCCTTGTTTGACCTGGCAGCTCACACCCAGACTGGCACATAGTAGAATCTTCAGAAGTTGTTTGTTGAATACATGAATATAAAACATCTTAACTTTTAAGTCTTTTGATAACACTTGACAAATTGCTCTCTATAAATACATCACAATTTAGGTCTTCTATCAGAGTGACTTCCACTTGAGAGCGCTGGGTATTTTTCCCCTAGTTTTCAGCAGTGGCTACCTGTGTAACTACCTTTTCTAATAGAGTCCACCCCCTCCACCCTCGACCCCGACCCCGAAATTTCCTGGAAGTTCAAGTTCTTGCTATTTCTCCCAGGGGCCCACTTCTAAGTGCCCCTGAAACGCAGAGCGCAGAGGCCCCTCCACAGCACAGACGCAAGCATCACTCACTCACACGCTCACCCCACCCGCCTGCCGCCCACCGAGAGCCGCACACCCGGCCACGCATGCGCACTCTCGCACCCGTCAGCCAGCGCCTCTGACACGGGTCTCCTGAGCAGAGATGAGCTCTTCCCAGGCCCCTTTCAGGCCGGCGCCGTGGTCGCCCTGACCACAAGTGGTGGAACACAGCATCCAGGAGCGGAGCTGCGTCCCACCGTCACAGCCACCACCCCTGTCGGGGCAGCCTCGCCACCCACGGCTCTGGGACTGCACAGGGGGATTCAGCTCTTCACAAGGACATGTTCTCTGTGTGCCCGCGGACTCCTCTCCAGGGTCGCAGCCCCACGGTCTGAAGCTGCCGGCACTGCGGGAGGCCTGGCACCACGGCGACGTGCCCAGACAGCTTTGGAAGAGGAACCGTGAGCAGGGAGAGACGCTCTGCAAGCATTTGTGCCCCTCCTTGAGCGTGGGCCTCTGCTCCAGCAGTCTCTGCTTGCCCCCGGTGACCGGGGCTTCAGGCCACGCTGCATGTGTCACACAGGAGAAGTGTTCTGTGGGCACGTCCATGCGGTGTGAGTCTGCGGGGCAGGAGGAGGCTGTGCATCGTCCCCTCTGTGGGCCCCAAACCTGGCACCTGGTGTGCTCCCGCAAATATGGGAGGCATTCCCATGAAGAGAAAGGTGGCTTTCTGCCAGTTCCCGCAGGCTGGCGCCTCTTCGCACTGCAGCCTCCCCGGCCCCCGCCCCAGCCAAGGCAGCCTCCGACACTGCCAGGCAGTGACGCGGCTTCTGAGAATAGCAATGCCCCAGTGCCACCTGCAGCTGGAGAGCCCGCCCACCGGCACTGCTGGCACCCACCTCCTCTCCTCCTGCTCTCCAGTCACTGGCATCGCAGGGAGCCCACGAAGGCAGGGGTGGGCTGGGCACCGCACCCCTGCTCCCTGCTCCCTGCTCCCTGCTCCCTGCTCTGGCCCCATCCAGTCATCTCAGGCAGAAGGGAAGCCTTTATCTCTGATGCAAGTCGAGCACACAGTCAACACCACAGCGCAGAATGGCCACTAGAGTCCCCACCTCAGGTTCACCTACGAGGCAGCAGGCTGCGGTTTTGGGTTCTGTAGTTCAGTCTGTAGCTGCCTGGGGCCAGGAGGCCTGGTGGGACTGAGCCGTCCATCCCTGTACTTCCCCGCAAAGCCAGCCTGGAGCAAAGGTGTAGGGATGCTTGGTGGCAGGCAGAGGGGTTCCTGAGGGCCCCTGCAAAGCCCCTGGATCACCCCTCAGCTGTGCCCCACGCTACTCCCACAAGGGTCTACAAAGGGCCCAGGTCCCAGAAAGGAGTGGTGGGAAAATGCCACGTAAATAGGCGGAGCCATTGTCAAGTTATTATAAAAGTGCCAATTATATCAACAGATACCCTCACTATCAGCCTGATGGTTTTTAGCCGAACAATAGCATACATCTGTGCAAAGAAGTATTTCTAGTTTTGCTGGATTCACAGAGGATATGCGGTAAACCACAGTGTGTGCCAAGCTGGCCACGCTTAGTCTTATGTGACCTTCACATCTACCTTAACAGTTGCTACTGTGACAGCCCCTCATTTTACAGTGGAAGAAACAGATTCAGAGGTAAGACCTTTGAACTGGTAGTAACGCTT